CCAGGTTAAGATTACAGGTTTTTTATACAGAAAGAAACTCCAACTTCTAGGCTCAAAGGGAGAATGAGGGATTAACTTCCTTATTTCTTCAGTGTTTGGGAGTTGAAACAATGTCTTACATCATCAGCAAGGGGCTTCCATTATTGCATTCCAAGTAACTAATTTCAGTTTCTTTTTTATATCAAGGAATGTTTCCTCACTAATGTACTTATGCTTCCAAACTTCTAATATTGGTGGATATCCTATACCAGCTTACCCATCATAAAAATATTGGCCTCACTTGTTTTTCGGATTTCAAGACTATCAAGTTTTTTGGGATTAGTGATTTTATTCTAGACAACGAGATTTAGGGCAGAAAAGACCTTTAAAAAAATTCATTGTTTCTTCTCTGAGAATAGTATCATCATTGCATCAAACACCATTCATAGACTTTATTTCTCTTCTGCCTGATTACCGTCTTAGTATGAAAGAATTTAGTGTTACGATCTCCCAATTTAATCCAGTCATCTCTAACTTTTTCATACCAATGAATCTCCTCTTACGCGAGGATCTTATTATACTCCTGTTGAAGTTCATGTTAGAGATAAACTAGTCTTGTCAAATTTATTCACTTTAAAGAGTGTTGGATACTCCCAAGTCTCTTCTCAATATTGTACTTTTATTTGCTTATATTGTCAAAAGTTTTGTTATTAAAAATGATATAATCGTACTTCAAATTTTAGAGACAAATTACAATGTTATTCAGAGATTTCTTCCAAACAGTCTGAAATATATTGAAGTATTCTCAATGACTTATCCAAACTATCTCAAATCTATAAAGATGTGGTGTGTGATCTTGGAAGGGAATGTCACACCCATGGAGAATGGATTGGAATTGTGATCAAAATAGAGATGTCCCCTTCATACTTTCTTTTCTATTTTCAATATATTGGATGTTATAAAAAAATGTCTAGTAATTTATGTTAAATATATTTATAGTATATAAGTAAATTAAACAATAAGCTTATACTAAAAAAGAAAATTCTTTAGGCAAAAACACTAAACTCTTGCTTCAAACTAAAACACTTTTTACGACTCATTTGCCTCAAATTATAATTTAAATGTATACTATTTATTAATAATTTTATAAATTAAACTCATTAACAAAAGATACACTTAGAAAATCAAACTATCTAGTAACTATACATTTTAACAAGAAGCTCATTACAAAAAAACAGTTATTGACTTTTTAATAATTTTATTATATCTAAGAATTGTAGTGATAATGCTCAACACATTCAAGTATGAATGGTCACTAGCTTCACCTTTTCCATAAGTAGATTCGGCTGTATATAGCTAAGAAAAGACTTTTTTTATTTCATGTTTTGTTCTTAAGACAAGAATCATATATTAAAGAGTAGTAGTGTGTTTTATTGTGCAACCTAAGCATTTTGTTTCCATTTACTCTTCATAAACCTTTGTCTTGTAAAAATGAAAGAGAAAGAGAAATAGAGAGACAGTGAAAGGAGAGAGGGGTCCACAAACATAAATGGTCCTCTTTTTATTGTTCTTTTAAACTTTACAGCTGTAACCAAGAAAACAACATAGCAAAATTACATTGAGAAAACTTTAGTCTTAATTTAATGCAAATTCATTAAACTTATTAATGGATGTGACTAGGTCAACAAAAAAGGTTTAAAGTCATTAATATGAATGTAGGGGGGTGATAAACAAACATTTTTGTTTGATTTATTTTTTAGATATATTAAATAATTAATATATTTGAATAATATATAGACTAAATATATTAATTATTTAATAAATTTAAAAAATATATCTTTAGTTCATTCAAAAAAAAATATTAATAAAATAGATATAATTGATAGATCAAATTCGTTTTATAACTCTTTTTAATATAGATAATGTATGTTATTATTGTACCAAAATTGATGTAGGGGCATATATGCAATTACTAATATAACTAAATTGTTTCAATTTAGAAAAACAATTTTCTCTCTAGAGTTTTTCTTTGTCTAACTCATGAAGTCATAATCTATATGGTACTATCTATATAATGTACTACAAACCTAAAGTGGAGAAAAATATTAGTAGAAGCAAAGACAATGTTGTTACAAAATCAGATTTTTGTCCCCCATAATAAAATCTCTAACCTTTATGCATTATATCATAATTTAAGATTAGATGGGAATTTTGTCAAAGACCAAAAGTATTTTGTTTCTACTAACCCTTTTGTTTTTTTCTTTATTTCTTGCTTACAACCCATACTTCACTTAATAAAACCAAACAAATATGGCAAGCTTATGCTTCATAATTCTTAATCCATTTTGCATTTTAGATTTCAATATCTTTTTAGAAATTGTGTATACACGTGAAAAAAGTAGAAAAGGACTTTAATTTATATTTAGTTTTGATAGAATTACAAAGACCAAAAAAAAGTAGAGTAAAGAAGCAAAAAAGGTGAAGCATGCACTATAGTGAATCCACTAGAAGGATATATATGATGATGATGATGATGATGAATCTTTGGACAATAAAAGAAAAAGGAAAAACAAAAAGAAAAGGAAAATGTATAGACAATTTAGAGAAAAAGAAAGGGTTAGAGTCCACATGGGGTATGGTAATTACTTAAAAAAGAGTGTGCAATTAATGATAATTAATCTAATCTAACTAATGGTTGCATTTGAAAAGTTAATGTTGTGTATCCCATTATTGTAGTACTCTGAATTTTGTTGTTGTGAAAATGTTTTGTTTCTCCGTGTTCTTCGCTATGTTATGTGCTATAAGCATTATTAATATTATTATTATTACAATTGTTGACACCTTCTCTTGACCGCTAAGTTGTTATGCAATAACATTTGATAATTCAAACTCATAAAGTATGACAACTCATAAATGTTGGGTAACAAACAAAACAAATTTAATATCGCATATTATATTATTGCTGTCCTATGTCCTAAATATAAGATTATGTAGATTAAATTAACTAATTAAAAAATTAGTTAGAATATTAAATTTATTAATTATTTATATAATTTTATAAATATATTTTTAAGAGAGGGAAATAATTAATATTTATATAAATGTATTTATTATCGATTAAGAAAAAAAATATATGATTAAGGGTATGTTTAGAAAAAAAAAATTAATGCACTTCGAAAGTTGAAGAGAGTCTTACAAAAAAGACAAGAAAAAAATTCAACAGTATCTTCTAATTAAGAAAAGAGATAGTATTTAGTAGTAACAAAATGAGTCTGGTTCGTTGAACATGCTCTTTTGTCCGTGTTATTTTTATGAGACGAGCTAAGATTTTAGATCTTTGACCTTTAATATGTTTGTTTTTGCCAAATTTCATTAGCGGGTTTTTGTAGGCGTGAATATTAACTTAAAATTTTGCAATTTTTAGACAGTAAAAATACAGTGTCTGCAGGGCGTTGCTTCGGTCTCATTTTATTTTATATGAAATAAGATTTTAGATTCGCGCGCTCGATAATGTTTATTCTATTTCATCCTATTTTGTAACGAACTTTTGAAGAACGCATTAAACAGAACAAAGAGCGGATATGTCTGTTTATTATTTCTAATTATACTTAAAAACAGTCAATCGAGCCTAAATTTTAGACTAGCACCACCTCATATGTCTATTTTGCTCCCTTTTTTAGGCAATGACATTAATGTGGCGGACAAGAATTTTTTAAACTCTTAGATTTTAGATGAGCAAAGTTCGCGGAACCTCTCAACTCTCATTCATCGAATAAATCAAGCTTCTAAATCTTCATTCTCTACTATATCTGTTATGTAAATTTTTTAAACTCTTAGATTTTAGAATAAGCAAGGTTCACAGAACCACTCAACTCTCATTTATCGAATAAATCAAGATTTTAAATCTTTATTCTCTACTATATCTATTATGTCTTGATGGTCACCCTTAATTATAACAAGGATCAACTATCTTTAAAAACTTTTCTCTATCTCTCTTAACCATTATTCTCTTTCATGTAATATCTCTTTTCAAGATGAAAGTTATGAAAGTTACTACTAGACAACAAAGTCCCCAAATACTTTCCCCCTAATTAGACTCCTATTAACAATTCTTTTGAAGGTTTAAATTAGTAAAAGGTTAGTTTAACTAATGCTATCTATCTAACTCTAATCTTGTTGATAATGACATGATAATACAACTAACTAGTACAAAAAGCATAATTAACTCGTGTATCTAGTACTAGTACTAACATACTAATACTACTATGTACCGTACAAAGCATGCCATAGGACTATAATGAATGAGGCACAATGACAGAGGCAAAGCATAGCTGGAGTTTTCAGTGAATAGGTCAGTGGTTAGGTTTATGGAGGAAAGAAAGTATTATAACCTCATTTCTATAAGACCAAGTGTTGTCTTCTGTTTGTGTTTTCCATTGCTACAATCGAGGTCAAATGACTCTATCCACCAATCAACACAATTTCTTCTAGTCACATGCAAACAAACCATTCTTCTTAACCTCTCCAAAACAACCTTTTTATTTGTTCTGTCACACTTGTTTTTTAACCTAAAATAAAACTATATGTTAAAAAATGTAGTATATTTGAATGGACCCTGTTAACAGTTTCCCACTACCATCATACATTCAAAGATTCAAACAAACGAGTTAATAAAATAAAAGCATACATACATATGAACAAAAATTATTCCCAATTTATTATAGAAATATAATATAAATATGTTCAAATTTGGTATGGTCTAGAAGAGAACCATTTAATATAAAATAAAAAGTGCCTTCAAATTAAAACATAATCTTCATTGCCAACTTTGTCCTCTCCTCTTTTACTCCTTTCATCTTGCCTCTGCCTTTGTCTCTGCCTCTGCCTCTTCAAGAGATTCATTAGGGACATTGTTGGAAATGAAGAGATCTTAGAAAACATCAACATAACCATACTAAATTAATATAGATTTTTTTTATATGGTTATTATTTGTTTTTTTTTAAAGGACATGGAGAGGATATTAAGGAGAGGTAGCACTAGCAGTGGCAAGAATTCCAACAATTGCCCTATTAAGAGGTGACAAATTCCTATTTTGCCCTTGAGTTTTTGTTTTCTTAAAAACAGGCTCTGAGGTTGAATACGATGAAGATGAACCCACTTTCCATGAATCATTAGAACCATCAGAACTAAAAACAGCATCAATTACGCCACTTGGACTTCCAGGAACTTGTTCATATTTTCGTTTATGACCATAATTACTTCCATTAGTAACCTCAACAATCACATTATAACATTCATCCACTTTCTCCTGTAAAAAAAAAACATGGATTAGTAACCTTAAACTAAATCACGTTCATTAATTATAATCATGGTCATCATCAATGTCATGGTCATGGTGATGGTCATGGTCACACATAGATATATTTATATGGTCCCATCCCTTTGAATTATTCTATTAAATTAAAGTACTTGTATTGAATTAATCTAAACATAAAGTATAAAGTATATTAATTAAACAAGAACATAAAGTACATAACAAAACTAACCTTATTAATTTTGAGAATATTAAGAAGCTGGTTTTTGTAGTCCACACCATTATCATCACTCTCTTCAATCTGGTCTATCACATGCAGCATTGTAGCAGTAGCCAACACAGAAGGAACACAACCAACAAATCTTGAATCTACATAAACACAAACATGCATACAACAAATCAGAACCAAATCAACATTTGACTTTTATATTTATTTATTTTTTGTACTTGTACAAAAGGTAAAGTTTTCAATTAGTACTCAATAATGGTATGTTGATGATGTTGTTTACTTACCTAAAAGTACAGATAGAAGAAGATTTTCACAGCGTCTTAAAAACTCCCAATGAAGATTAGTTTTCAAACCAAGCCTTGTTATAATATGATCTAGAAAAGAGTGTGGTGTCACTGGATGCATCTTCCATTTCAGTGTAGACAGAATCAAAAGCTCCATTCTCTGAATAGTTTTTGCTTCAAACACATATTTAGTATCTTGCACCTAAAAAATCACAAACAAAAAAAAACATAAAAAACCGAACATAAGATATTAAAAAAACATAAAGTTAGGATGATAGCATTAAAGTTTAAGGTTGTTTTGAAACATACTTGAAGGTCTAGGAGGAGAGGAACTTGAGTTTCTTCAACTTTTGCAGCTAGAGAGATGCAAGTAACAGCAACAAGCTGAATCATCCATGGCTTATCCTTTTGGAAAAGGAAGGTTAAGAGGAACCTGTCGAAATATGTAACAGCGAGTGTTGCGGTGAGAGGTGAAAAGGCGTAATGAGCATTGACTTTAAGCATCCATTGAACAGCTTCACGACGAGGTTGAGAGAGAGAAACAAAATCGACGACATTTTTCTTCAGATCCTCGTAGTAAGTTTGTAGTTGGGTTTTTTCTTTGTAGAAAAGCGTGGAGAGTTCTTCATCTTGAGAGAAGAGGTTTTGTTCCAAGGAAAGAAGAGGAGAAAGCGAAGTGAAGTCTAGAACATGTTCTTCATTGTTAGTTGTGATATCACTCTGTGGAGATGAAACGTCTTCTTCTTCTTCGAGTTTTTCTTCATCGCAGTAAAGAGCGTCGAGAAGAGATGAAACGGTTTGGTTGTGGTGGTGATGGTGGTGGTGGTGGTGATGGATTGCCATCTTCTTCAATGAAGAAGAGGTTGTGTGGTCCTTTGTTCATTGTAAAAAGAAGAAAAGAGTAATGAAGAGTTTCATATTCATCTTTTTTTTTTCTTTGTCAGTGTTCTATGCGTTGAAGAAGAGAGAGAGAAGTGAAAGGAGAGAAAGAAAGAAAAGTAGAAGAGTAGAGAGTGATGATTTTCAGCTGAGTGGGTGTCATGCTTGTCTTTTATATATTTATATCAATATCAAAAATTAATATTATAATTTCATTAAAAAAATTAATATTAAAAAAAATGGTTGATGTACGGTAATATAATTTTGAAATATATATGTGAAATTATTTTTTGATAATTTAGAGTTGCGTTGCACTTTCGGTGTTTATGTAAGTTGGCGGGCAGAAGAGCAAAAATCTAACGGCACGCACATCAAGCTGGACCCATGAAAACTACCTTTCAATTTCACACTTTTTTTTATTTTGTGTATTTCTTTTTTTATACATAAAAATCATTACACAATTTTTCAACTTGCAACTTTTCTAGTAACTACTTAAAACAAATTTCTAAATATTTATTTTAAATAATTATTGATATTGAGAATATATATATATATATTTAAATATAGTATAAGGAAATTTTTATTTATTGGAATTTCATTATCTTTTTCAACTTGATGGGCCGGTTGGGCTAGATGCTAACTACAACGGCCTAGTCGACCAATTTATGAAAATTTTACCCTATGTCTTTACTATTTGTTCCCATCCCTCCATTTTTAAAAATATTTCAATTCTATGCTTTTTACTTTTTAAATAATTTTACTATTTAATTTTTTTTTTACAATTAACTTTTGAAATTAAAGAAATTTTCATCTCCATCAACAAGTAGGGATGGAAATAGAGCAGGTAGATAATAAAGACCTACGGCTTAGCTTACATTAATTCAAGTCAAGTCAAGTTTTCTTTTTTAATAGAAAAGACTTAGATTTTTTTATAAGTCTATTTAATTAAAAAGATTAAGTCGCAAGTTATGAAAAAAGTCTTTTAAATTTAACAGATCGGTCTATATAAATAAATATAAATATTTTATTATTATCATTATGTTATGTTTTGTACTTTAAATTAAAATACATAAATAAAACTTGGTTATTCTAAAAAACTTATGAAAATAAGAAGAAAATAGCTTAGGAGCAATGTTACAAGTTGTTTTCATAAACTCTCTTAAATAAATAGTCTCACAAAACTAATACTAATAGATAAGTTAAAATAAATCAATGCAAACAAACTTTTAGTCTCATTAGTTTTTTAGTCTGTTAGTCCATTTAAATATTATTTGAGTTGCTTATTTACATAGGTCTAAAATAATAGGTTTTTATGTAGGGAAACAGGTTAATCAAACTTTAGCAAAAGGTCAGACTCAGGTCTAAAAATAAGCTTATGATAAACTACATGTTAGACTTAGACTTCAGTTTTTTTGTCAGGTCATGTATAAATTTGGCAAAGTCTACCTCGACCCAACCTATTTTCACCCTTATCAACAGGAAATTTTGTCTTAGGTATTCTAATATTGATTTCTTTTTATGAAATGACTTGTAATCAATTTTTTCGATATGTTATGTGTGCACCGAAATATTTATAAATAAGTTATTCAGTATATTATATTTTTTACCGAATAATTTGTTTATAAGTATTTTGGTAGTCTTCAGTTTGTTCATTGGATAACTTATCCATAAGTTATTTGGTATGGAATTTTTTTAAATGGTTTTTTTTATTTTTCATAGTTATGGAATTTCTGTACATATATGCGATAAAAATCGGATATGGGTTGATGCTACATAAGCATTCTCAATTGCAGAAAAAATTGATATACAAAAAGAAGTGATAAGGTGGATTAAGGAGGTTTAAATCATAAATAAAGTATTATTTATGATAAAGTAATGGGAAAAAGAAGAAGAAGCAACAAATTAATATTTGATTTTGATAAAGGTAAAAAATACAAGGAGGTTGATAGTACAACACAAAGTGTGACTAAAAATGTGAGTGTCCATTTAAAATCAGATCAACACCGTCTAAAGATGGTTCAGGATGGAACATTGATAAAAAATATGGACTTCACAACCACCGTTTTATTTATAGATTAAAAGATCATTCGTTTGTTGATCGTCTAAGTTCAGAAGAAAGGCAACATGTTATTGATTTGACAAAATCCCATGTTTCACCCAAACACATACTACTTTTATTGTAAGAGTTAGATCCAACGAATGTTACTCGAATCACACAAATAAATGAACATAGAATAAATTACAAAAAAAATCAGAGATCCTAGAACTAAGATACAACATTTATTCAAGTTGATGGATGAGAAAGAAGAGAGATGACACTGATGTTGTGAGAGGTAATTTTTGGACACCTAGATTTAGTGAAGTTGTTAAATAATTTTTTCTACTATGTTGATTATAGACAACACATACAAGACAAACAGGTACAAATAATCTTTATTTGAAATTGTTGGTATGACTTCGACTGAGTTGACATTTACCGTTGCATTTGTCTATATGGAATTAGAGTAGACGGGAACTTTTGTTGCGTATTAGGTAAGCTAAAACAATTGTTTGCGAAGGAAAGGATTGACTCTATGTAACTGATAAAGGTCTCTCTTTGATGAAAGCGATTTAAATTGTGTTTCCAAATATGATTAATTTTCTTTGACGATATTTCATCTATTAAATATTCAAGCAAGATATTCTGAATGATATACAAGAGACTATAGACATCCTATGGAGGAAACTTGTATGAGCTAGTGATGAGGTGGAATATTATTAGTGGTTGGAACAATTTGAGCAAGCATGTGTTGATTATGTTGAATCCATTAATTATGTTAAAGACACGTGGTTGATTCTTCACATGCATAAATTTGTTAAAGCATGGATCAACCTAATGCTACATTTAAGCAACACCACGACTAATAGATATATATGTTTAGTAGTTTTAATTTTTTACTTTTAGTTTACCTTATTTGATGTTTTCTTTTATTTTAGGATTGTGCCTTCTCATTGAAAATTGAAGAACAACTTAAAGTTACAATTGGGAAACTATGAGCAACAATTATAGGTAACTTGTACAAATGTTGGGAGACTATGAACAACACTTTGAAGTTACAATTGAGCAACACCAGAGCTTCTTTTCAAAAGAGTTTTTATGAGATTGAGCATAGCGCATTAGTCCATGTGCATGGATTGATATCGAGAGTTGCTTTGAGACACATTATTGAAGATTCTTGAGGGTTAATTATGTGTGAACTAACACTCAAATTTGTGGATGTACTCTTAGAACATCATGTACTTCCTATACATCTGGAGCAGGTAACACTCCTCGTCCTACGCCTCTGTGAAGAATTATTCTAGTGTCACCTCCGTTGCATCCAAAAAAAAAACAATTTTTAACAACTTTGAAAAAAATCGAAGTCTTTCACATAAGATATCTGAAAGCTAAAAAAATAGTATGACTTGGAAAACTTACCCAAAAGTCTTACGATGTAAAAAGATGTGAACCGGATAACTTTAAATCAAGATTTTCGGTGTTGATTTATGAACTGGAAGACCAGTAAAAAAGAGTTTCGATGTAGAAACGTGTAACTTGAGAAACGAGTTTCAATAAGTTTAGTGTAATACTTATATGTAAGACTCACTGTACATGATTTTTCCATAAATTCTTTCAAATCCTCTCAATACACGTGAAAACTTGAAAATTAAGTGAGAGAAAAAAAAGGAAAATATTGACAAATATACTATTTATGCAAGGCTTTTTTTAGTCAAATTACAATAATTGTTGGGATACGGGGGTAATTGTAGAGGTAGGGTGTAAAATGTCTATAATTTATTTTAATTTTCTTATATCAAAAATAAAGCAAAATTTGGTTTCTGAATACCATTAACCTAAAAGAAAACACATCTATAAATTATACTCGGTAACGAAATGTAAGTATATTGAACAATTAATATATGTACTCTCTATATATGAATTATATACATTAATTATTAAATATATTAAAAAATAAAAAAGACAAATTTATTTATAATTTATTACAGTAATTAAGACTGAATGGTTGGTTAACCTTTTTATGATTTACCAATTTCTGTTTCTAAAAAGGAGTTCATTATTCTTTTGCATAGAAAAGCATGCTTCATCACATGGAAAATTTATTTATTTATTTTTGAACAAGAAACTCTGATATTGATATTTATGATTCCTGGCTGTATTGTCTGCAGATCGAATATTGATAATTTAAAACTAATAAATAAGATCACTACCAAGCAACCAGAGAATACAAAAAACTGGAGCGTATAGAAAGTGTACCATACTACATTACTATATATAACCAACATCTCAAATTGTGTTATTTGTTAATGCATTAAAATAATGATCAACAGAGTATATAAAGATTGTTAGGGTTATTATTGGAGTATTTATTTGACATGCATTTTTTGTTACTAAGATTTAGACTTCATTGTTGGTACAGTACTGTTATGGTAAAAAGGAAGAGAAGACACAAAAACACTGAAAAGGTGTGCAAAGTCTGAAAGAGTAGCAGTTCCACTAGCTAACACTAATAAGTAATAACCTAACCAACATAGACAACATCGCCTTTGTTACCCTTTCAGTCAATGGCGTGCGCATAGTCCATACTAACTTTTTACCCCTTTTCTTTTTTAGTTTTATTATTTTATTATTATTTATTATTATTTAAAACATTCACTATAAATTCAATGCTCCAAACATGTATATGTCAGTTTGCAAAAACTTTCTGCAGCCTTCAAAAAAATATGCATGGTTCAAACAGAGCACTCCTGCAGACATTATTCAATTCTATTTCCCCACATAATCTGTTGTTGCATTGGAACTGCTCCATCATAACAAGTGTGTTTGTAGAAACATTATAGTTTGATTTCATTTTTTAACAAAAACATTATAGTGTGATGTATTAGTTTTGAATTATAGACAAAAAGACTAATAAGATATGAACATG